TTAGACAAAAATTTGTGCAGTAGGTGTTTTTTGTACATCTATATACATTTATTTATGAACAAATCAGCAGCAGTCTGTTTATTTTATACCATAGCTTTTTGATTTAGTAGAATAATGGGCAAGGGAAAGTGTGACCCTGATCCGGTGTGTGTGTCTGTATCTGTGTGTGTTTTAAATCACATCTATTTTCCCTGGAGTTCCTCCAAAAATACTGCAAACATTCTCCACTCTAAAGACATCTCGCCAACAAGAAGTTCACAAAACTACACTACCCAGCTGCCATCTCTCAAACGCTAGCGAGAGCAATTTCCCCAAAAGCATTAAAAGCTGGTGGGCAGGCTGCAGCACATCTTCCTTTAAGCCAATTTTACTGAAGACTACCGAATTACCACATTTTACAAGCTGTTGCCGCAACCCTCCTGAACAAAAAGGTCCCAAAATCATCAGAAGGTGACCTGAATGAACACTTTCGCTACGCAAGCCTCAACAGAGAGGTGAACACAGGGTACATATACATTTTCACCATTTTTTCCATATTCAAAAATGCATACTGAAAGTAATGAGAGCACCGGGAATTAAAGTCTTAGGGTTTCAGTGGTAGGATTACAGTAATGCTAATGCATAGGTACAGTCACATTTGATATGCTGGCATAAGGAATGCATTTTATCAATAGGTGGGTGGAGGAAAAATGGAGTATGAATAATGGATTAAGGCAAATGACGGTATAGGTAAACCCTAAAGTACACTAACTGTGTTGACTTATTTGGATTGCAATTATACCCATCGATAACTCCAACCACAGGTTATAATTACGCATCGCCTACAATTCACGAGTTTCCCATTGATCTGCCCCCTCTAATACGTTAAGAACAGGACTGGGAGGGTTAAAAGGTGGTAATTACTGACAACTGTAACAATAATAGTGGCATCAATTCACAAACTCTGCCATGATGGCGGGGGGGGACGACAAAAAAAACCACTGCTGTCTGTTTCAGCTGCTATTACTCTGAAAGCCCAAGATGATTTAAACACAACCTGGTGAGCCGTAAGGAAGGCAGCTTTCCATCTAAAATGCAAAGCTACTCGCGAAACACAGTCCTGCCTGCACACAATGGAAAATGGTAGCTACTCTGAAGAAAAACTAAACTTTGCTACAAAGAGCGCTGCCTCTTGCTGGCTCTTCAGATGAACATTTTCCATGTTAATTTTTGGCTGCATATTCCTTTACATCTGATCTATGTTGTTAGCTCTGCATTTCTGCAACCGAGTTCCTGCTGGTTCAAACTGGTTCTGTGCAGGTTAAGAAAAAAAAAAAAAAATGCACCCTTGCCTGTGACGCTTAACACAAAAGTCCATAGCAATTTGGCAACATTTACTAAATGTTGACAAACAGCATATAACACCTATGGGCCCTTTTCCACTGCACCAGTTGTCGTACTTTTGGTACTTAATACCAAAAGTACAGTACTTCTTTGTGTTGGTTTTCCACTGGCATAAAAACTGGTACCGCCACTGATTGACATCGCAATGTGAGGCGGGGTATTTTGTACTGAATTCGAAAAATGGCAAAAGTATATTATACGGCTGGGCGATGTGCGATATTAATACCAACATCGCATGTTACGTACATGCAATTTGCGCAACGCAAGGACCATGACAATCAGCTAATTTGAGATCAGGCTTTTTCATATACTGTATTTATACTGTACGGACATTAGTGTGCAGGCTTTAAGTTTAAAACATTTTTATTTTGTCAGAAAAGAAAACTTAGCAAGCTTTGCAATTTTAATGATTGTTCCTTTTCAAGATTATCTAGTAGAGCTTATAAGTTTTTTAAAAAAAATCAATTTCAAGTCTACTGCTGCTGCTTTTGCATGAGCTCTGCATACAGTTTCGGATCATTTTCATTCTTGCAGTTACAATCAGTTGTAAATGGATTGATGAGATGGATTGACGATTTTTTTCCAATATCGTGTAGCCCTAGTATATTGTAGCAAATACAATTTTGAAAAAATTTCGTGTCATGCCATGCAGATCTTCTGCTTCTTCCAAGTAGATCGCAATTAAAACTGCAGTCGCTTCATTTGTCCATGCATACATCATTATTATTTTATTATTATAAACTTTGCTTATCATTGTTTTGGGTTTGTATCTTTTTTCAAGCTGGTGATTATACTGTGTTTCAGAGGCAGGCTATTTGCATAACCAATCGACAATGAACATGTTTGCAAGTCCTACCCCAAAGTACGGAAGTACCAAAAAAGTACCACAACTGTTCTGGTACTCTTGATACTGGAACTTTTGGTACTGATACACTAGCGCAGGGGTGTCAAACTCCAGTCCTGGGGGGGCCTATGTTGCTTAGTTCTTTCCCAGTTCCACCATAAATGATTCAGCTCAAGAGCTGTGTGGTAATTAGCACAATTAGCGCTTTCACACCAAAGTTCTGCAACTTGGTCCTGGTTTACAAGTACCTGGGCTGTCTCAGGCCTACAACTTTGTAACTTTCTGGGACCTTTATGTTAAATAAACATCAGAAGCGCAAAAAATACGAATGTTAAGCTTCACACATAATATATGACACTACACCGCCATGCCAATACAATGGAGGATAAATAAGTCATTTTTCTGGTTATGTAGCCTTTTATTTGTATTTTACTTATATGGCCTGCGACCTGTTCATGATTCTTAATAAATCTGGCCAGCACATCGATCTTTCATTTTGCACAGAATAAATACCTATGTTATCCCGCTAAGAAGCGCTGGCAAGTTTTACCATCGGCGAAATTAGACAAAAGTATATTGGTTAACGATCAAATTTTCCAATGCAAAAATATGAAGATGCAAGCAAAAAAATGTATTAACTGATGCACTAAATGTGATTGGGGTGCCATAACCATTCCATCTGCTCAATTTTTCGCTCTGCTACATTTGTTTTTCAGCCCTTCCAGGTAACAGCACCGGTGCTTGTGGTCAACCAATTAGCAAGCTTTGGCTGTAAGTGCCTCCCCACTAGTTTGTGTTTGAATGAAAAGTTCGAGTTCCTGCGGTGTGAACACAACAAAAATCCCTGGTCCTGGAAAAAGGTTCTGAGGGTGTGAAAGTGCCTAATGGAAAAGGGAAAGTACTGAAAGTGCACTGGGAAAGCGCCCTCTGAGGGTCAATGCAAAATTCCTGTCAACAATACCAAATGACTTAATAGTGCGAGTAAAAGTTTCTCAAAAAGTTTAGGCTACATTACAAGTGTTGGATATGTATGACAACTTTCGCAATCAACGCAGGCTACAACATTCTTAGTTACTTTCGTAATTATAACCCAGACATAAAGTGTATAAACATAAATCCAGTAAATCCAGAAAAGTATGTTAAGTACCAAGCAAGTAACTGTTATAGTTTATTAGACAGTCTTTTCTGGATAAAAGTAGCAACATGAACTACACTCAGCCCCAAAATGGCAATAGGAACTTCGGACAAGAGCAAATGACCTATGGACACCAACATAGATGAAAGCCTTCTGTGCTAAATAAATACTTGTTGAATGTAGCCTCACTTAAAAGGCAAAGAATTTCACTGCTGAGTTTATTCATGATGGTTAACTATTAAGCCTAATATGCATCTCAAACTAATTTCAAGGCTACCTCTATTTGCTGTTTTTGAAAAAAATGTACAATTACTAGTCGTTATAAGCGGATTTAAAACAAGTCAACGATCAGTTTCCTTTGTTTGGACAAGAGAAGCCTCACTAACAAGCCAATGCACTCCTCCGTAGAACATATTCTGCTCATTTCACTTCATAAACAAAATTCTCGCAAGGAATCCGATCGAATGATATAAAAAATTTACGCGCATTACCCTGAAAAATCAGTAAATAACTCAAAATAAACAAATAAATAAACGCGAGCCTCCGTCCTTTTCAACTTCGACTCTACGACTTATTCAATAACGTGCCAGAATCGGAATGGAGCTAATGCTCGCCAGACGGGTCCAAATAACCGCAATCAGGTTCATTTTAAGCACCGTAGACAACGTGTATATTATGAAATGTTACATTGGCATTTAATGAAAACGCCTTTTGTCCCAAATGAAGTCGGGCGTCCTGTAACAGCGGCGACTCCTGCCTGACATCGGGGTGAAGGAGCCGGTTTATAGAAAACGGGCTTCGGCCGATCGGGCGCCTTTATCAGCTTCGCTCGTGGCCGGTGTACAGGACAACAGGACAGCGCTGGGGGGAAATCATCGGCAGCGTCGAAGTAATATTTAATAAATAAATGACAAAAAAAGGCTTCCACACTCCAGGAGACCCCCTCCTCTCCAAATACACATGCAAACTCCGCCTTAATGTCATTTTCGATTTCGAGTTTTATTACCCCCCCCCCCCTTCTTTTTCTTCTCCTCCCCAGAAACCTCACGGGTCTCTCATATCAGAAAGGCACCGAAATGGCATCCCGTTAAGACATGCCCTCACATGCATCCTGACCTCCGGGGTACAGCTCGTGTAATGGTCCGCGATCGAGGCACGTTTGGCCAGGCGGATAACGCGGGGGACGCCGGGCACACGGCGGGGAATGCTCGGGGGATGACCATGCAGACCGGGGTCTGAACGGCGCTTCGCCGAGATTCCGATAGCCGGTACTCCGTCGAAATGCACATAGTCATAGAATAATAATAATGAAAAAAAACGATGGCAGTATTTACTGGCCAGTATTACAAAAAAAGTTAGTCTGTCATTTGAACGATCGGGGGCGACGATGCGGCTGGAGGTGGCTGTAGGAGTGACAGACATACACCTGCATCCATCAGTAAGCGGCTACCTACGAGCTGAAGGGACGCCCGCAACGTCGTAAATCAACAAGTCAGGACCATGCATACATGTCACCATACATCCTTCTCCATCCAGGAACATGTCAAGCAAAGGGAAGTCTGTGTCAAACGTGACTCCAAAAAAATGGAAATAAACAGATCCCCTTTTTGCAGGTAGCCAAGCGAAACAGCTCCATACCTCGTCGATGTGCCCTTCCGTACGTCGCAGATGCTGCATTTGAAGGCTTCGGCGCTGTTCCTGTAGGTGCAGACGCTACAATCCCAAAACCCTTCTTCTACCGTAGATTTGGCTTGTCTTTTTGGCCTTGAGGATTCAACAAAACAACAGGTCAATAACATCGCAAAGCACACGATGCACAGCCGAAAAGCGCCGTTTAATCGCGCACACTGCAACGCACAAACTCTAGGTGCCGGGGCTAAAAAAAAAAATGCAAAAGCGATCCTGAATTTGTATTGACTAGCTACCTCCCAAATGACCATGTCAATAGCGAGCGACCCATCGTTAGCCATGCAACTGAGAGCTAAAGACGGCGATCGGCCATCGAAAATGTCACCGTTCGGTCGAGTTTATGCTGCGACCGAAGTGGCTTTGAAAAACAGCCATGCGTAAGCACTACACATTTCCTTTTGTCTGAGGGTGATTAGCTTGCCAGAATAAAAGACAGACAATCCGCCATAGCTGCACTGTTCGAGATTAGCCATGGCTCGCAAAAAAGAGAAAGAAAAGGGGAGAAACTCCTTCGGAAAACAGTCAATTTTCACCCCTAAAACGCCAATAAAATATCCCAGGACCAATTCATAATGGTAGAAGACGGCCTGAGCTAGACAGTTTTGCTACCTTGTTGGGCTTTTCTTGTCGCCCATGGTGGAAAAAAGAAAGTGTCTTCCAAAGGAAGAAAATTGGCTCTGTAACGTAGCTACAGTGCGGGATCCAGATAGAGCCGCTGTGGAGGTGAGCTGGCTGACTGACCGACTGGAGCGGAGCTGAGCGGCTGCGGCCCACGTGACCGCGCGGCGCCCAATAGGCGGCCGCCTCGCTTTAAAACTCTCGAAATAAACCAAAAGTAATTAACGAGTTGGGCTGGTGAGTAACGCGCCTATTAACGCGCCTATGCTTGACTCCGCGGACTCGGCATCGCCGTCCACAGCCGCGCTTTGCATGAGCGTGACTCGGTGCTGCATGACTGAGATGCTGCGCGAAGGTGATTTCAGGAATGTAGAGAAGTTAATTATGGGACTACGGAACTTTCCCCAGATTATTAGTAGTATTAGTAAAACGTTCAAATATTCGGTTATTATAATAATGCAATACATTCCACACAATCAAGAAGAACAACAAACTATTATTATTTTGATTATTATTATTATTATTATTATTATTATTATTATTCTTGTGGTGGTGGTAATGGTTATGATTAAACATAATTTTCTTATAACCATTTTGGGTTATTTTTACTAATCGATATCAATACGTTCTTATTAACTTATTGGAAACAAAACAGGAAAACTCATGAAAGGAAAAAAGTTACAGGGATCAATTTTATTGTGTTTACAGGCATAAAACCCGGGCTATCCTGCTTTACACTTGTAATAATACCATTTTTCACGTTACACTTGTTACACTGATTTATTTCAGGCTCTCTGAATGCTGTACACAATATTGAACAACAGATCAATTTACTTAAGTCAATGCATACTGAAAAACTTAGTCACTTATAAGCATGATGAATATTCAAATATTTAAAAACATATTTATTCCCATGCATCCAAAACTACATCACCTGGAGTTAAACGAATTATACTGAAACCCTCAGGTAGTTCACAAAAACGAAAATAGTCATTGGGCAAACTGCAGCTTTTACGTTACAAGAACTTGCATTCTTCCAGTAATGTTACCGACAGGAGAACCATCAAATGTCAAAAATTTATTGGGAAACTGGTCAATAGTGATACAAAAACGTTCTCAGCTTCTGTGCTTCATCATAAGAGAATGTAACATAAGATTAAAAAAAAATACATATTAACCTATTGGTTTACTTTCTCTCACTCAACACCAATCCTTGGTGCCACTTGCACTAGCTGAAGTATGTTCTTCATTTTATCCATTTGTGCCGAATCTGTGTGATTAGTTGTGGGATGCTGGTGTATTTCAATTAAGTACACAGCTGTTACATCTGTATAAAGGGCAATTTTTCGTTGTGGATGGATGTGTGCTGGAGAAATCCCTGCCACACTAAATCGTAATCAAGTGAATGCACCTCATACTCCAAACTACTGATTATGCCTGTTAGCCTCCTGTATCAGATTTCAAACTAGATCCACAGTGAGCCATCGGACTCAGCCATTGAAGCATTAAAGCCCTTAAGCTAGTCCATAAACATGACAACCCCGACAATTTACCAAGCCTTTTAAGCAGACAATAGCAGTACTGACAAGTTTATTCATTCTCAGCTGCTATGGAATCACAGTAAAGGATGAGAACTGATGACATGAAGGTTACAGGTTTTCATCACTGGAGGGAATCGATAAGCAATGTCACCATAGATGGGGGGTGGGGGTGTTGCAAGACGTGTAATTCCTGAGGGTAATGATGTCTGCTTACCAAAAGCCTGGGATAGAGGTCTGTCATCATGCTGCTAGTTGTAAGGCACGTCACTAAGGGACAGACCACAGATCATTCATCTTCATGGCATAGTGGATTTATGATGAACAATGACAGCTGAATGATAGATATCAATTTCAAGGTACTAGAGTAATTTTTCTACCTCCCTCCCAACTCATACATAATCACACACATGCTATCTTAACATATTATTAAAGAATGAGAAATCAAAGCATCAAAATACACAGCCATATTTGTTTTGTAAAATTCAATAACGAAAAATTTAATTCATGTTGTTTCTTGACATTTCTCCCTATCAGCCAAGTTCCTTCTCTGTTTACAAATACAAATTAAAAACTGAAAACACTAAAATGTTTTGAACCATTAAAAAGGTTAAAAGAAGCCTTCATTACACCTGTTGTATCAGACCAAAATTAGCAAATATGGCTTTATGCAACATTAACATTGACCTTATTCTGAAGCTTTCTGCAATAAAAGCCATTGGAATCATATAAGGGCTAAAAAGGAATACTTTATGATTTTTAAATTTAAAACACAATAAGTGTAACTCCTTTCTTTCTTCAGAAATTCCTCTAAGTTGCATTCTTACAAATTTCTCAAATGCTTAGATATGGAGTTGCCCCCCCCACACACCTTTGCAGCTATAATAGCTGCCACTCTTTTGGGAAGGCTTTCCACAAGATGATGGAGTGTGTCTGAGGAAATTGTTGCCTATTCATCCAGCAGAATATTTGTGAGGACAGGCACTGATGTTGGACCTGAAGGCCTGGCTCACAATCTCCATTCTAGTCCATCCCAAAGATGTTTGAAGGGGTTGAGGTCAGGGTTCTGTGTGGGCCAGTCAAGTTTTTCCATACCAAATTTGCCCAAGCATGTCTTTATGGATCTTGCTTTGTGCACTGGGGCACAGTCATAAAGGATCAACAACACACTGAACCCAGAAGCAACACACTGTCCCACAAAGCTGGAAGCATACAATTATCCAAAATGTATTGATATGCATACCAAGACATTTTGTACAAAGTCCGGGGGGGACCAACTCCATATTGATGTTTATGGATTTAGAATGGAACGTCATAAAAGTTCCTGCGGGTGTAATGGCCAGGTGTCCCAATATTTTTGTCCATATATTGTACGTCCCAACAGCTGGGCTATATAACTCTGCCAAACTTTGACCATTCCTTGATGAGCTCTACAGACGACTTCTGAGGTCCAATGGGAAGCAAGATGCTGAGGTCAATAGGCCATATTGCATTTATGTGGTTATATGGGACAAAGTTAATTTCCATTGCTGTTTTGCAGTGAGGGGCTGGTTGAGGTTTCATCTCTGCATTTCTATGTACTCTCCATTCCTCAGTCCTATTGAGGAATTTTTTTTTCTGCTGGAAGATGGAAGGTTTACGAACACCATCCTTATGACCAAATGCTGCTGTTGGATGCTATTACTGAGGCATGTAGGGCAATCACAGCATCAGATTGCCAAGGCTGGGTCTGGCATACCCAGAGGTATTTCCCATGCTGCACTGCTAGGGACAATATTGTATGTGATCCTGGCCAAATATCAGGCAGAGGATTGATCAAAGGCAATGAAGCAAAAAAGGACAACAGTCTTTGTATTTGGGTTATTACACATAATTTCCTGAAATGAGTAACTTTGTTTTACTGTGGTTGATCTGTACTGTAGCTACGGTATTCTTTACAACTGGCCATATTACTGTTTACATTCTTGCATTTCATTCAGTTGATCCATTTGTGTAAGTACTGTATGGTGAATTATAGTAAGCACAATAATGCACAACAAGCATTACAGGGCATAACTGACCACTGTTTGCACTGTTTGAGTGAGTTACGGAGTTTTGTAACTTATTGATTCGATTGGCAAGGTGGTTTTTTCTCCTTTAATGTAGTTTTGCAAATTATGTAAGTGTTGTGCAGGTTGTGTTGACTGTTTTAAGATTGTGGCTTCTGTTTTGACTATTGCGGTTAGAAAACTGTAAATGCAAAGTCATCTAGTATTAAATGATTACAGTTTTTCTTTATTGTTTTGATATGTTTCAAGAAACATGCTTAACATTCTGATATACAGTATATAAGTGAATATCAAAAAACATTTTATGCATGTAGCATAACAGTATAGTTAACTAGCAAAAGGCTTGTCCCAAAAGCAAATAATTGTATGAGGAAAATGAGAAATGTGGCAAAGCAATCAAGCAAAACTGTAAATTATTCATAATACCAAACTCCACTTGTGTCTAGAATGTGGAGAGAGAAGCACTTTATGGGCTGATGCTGCTGTGTGAAATCAGATTGCCCTTTCATCTGTGTCTGTCCAGTCCACAATGAATTTACAGTCTTTGTCAATTGCTGTGACACATTTATGAAATGATAATTAACATTTGCAAAACAATGTGTGTCACTTCCACACAATGAAGTCCCCCCAACACAATGTCACTTGTGCTCAGCAGAACATAATTTCTCATTGTTTCACACAAATTGCAAATGTTTTAGTACATGCATGCAAATGATCAACTGTCTAAACAATGACAAAGGTACTTTTTAGTGGCATTGATAGAATCAGTTACTTTTGAGACATGAGTCAATTGTTTTGGGTGATAAACCATACTGTTGTGCTGCATGTATAAACTATTTTGAGAAATGTACTTGTTGTCATAAGAATGTTAAGTATGTTTTATGAAATGAGCCAAAGCAGTTGAGAAAAACTGTAATAACTAATAACTGTGGTTATGGGTGAGTGTGAAGCAGTTTAAAGCAGCTTGCATTGATTTGGTTATTTCCCACTCACTATCCTTACAGCCACATCTGTTGTTTGCTGTCTTTCATCAATACTGCTGTTTTAATGAACTCAGTGGGTACTTTCCCCAGTACATAAAGTGTGAATGATGAGGATCATGTAGATGGTCAGCCTGGGGGGAGTTTCAGCTCTGTATAATTGCATGCATGTAACTGATTTAGCAAATTCTTGAACATCACTATCGTTCGGAAGCACAGTTATGCTAAAGGTGGAAATTCAGTTGGTTCATTGTATTCAGTATTGTTTTTTCCTACTAGCTCCTAATCTATTTCAATATATAGGCATTTTTTTACAACATTAAATAGGTACTTCCTGTTTTGTACTTCTATAAAGGTACCTCCTGTCAGCATCAGCCCCTGTGTTGTCCCTTTCTGTCTGTTGTTTCCCCAGCTGACCAGCAGGTGTCAGTGGCCATCCCATCCCTTCATATGTTTAGTACATTTTGGTCCCAAGTGTTTCCCCTGCTTCCTGGGCTGCCACTTGGCTGAATGGGCTGAGCATGTGGCTAAAAACCATGTATCCTTACCATCATGGGTTTGAACTGGCCAGTCATTTTGGATCTTTTGCATTTTCTGCCCCAGTTTTGTC